ACACACCCTCAGCTTCTCCCCAGGTCCATAGATGGTATGGGCAAAGATATTCATACAAGCATTGAAGAGATTGTTCAGGGAGCTTGAGTTGCCTCCAGGCCCCTTGTTGAGATGGCCAGTCCCAAAGGACTCCTAACACCCCCTCCCCCTTTTCTCTCTCAGAGGATCAGAGGCAAATTCCTCACAGCAGTAACTAGCAATGCCACGTGCAGCCCTTCTGTGTGTGGTACTTGTGATTCAACACAGGCTTTCTGGAAGCTTGCAAGAGGACTCATGGTTTAATGCAGGAGACTCCATCCAAATGGCTGAGGCATGAGAGTACAGAAGGATAGCTGTAGTCAGAGCTTTTACAAAGTATAGAGAAAGCCACTAAATTTGTGATTCAGAGAAAACTTCACAGAATGGGTGGCATTGTGCTTGATATTGGGGGTGAAGGAGGCATTTTTCAGATGGAGAAGGAAGCATTGCAGGAACAGGCAGAGGCCTGGACAGTGTAGAGGGAGCACAGTGGGAAGATGGGCCAGGCCTGTTGGGGAGGAATGTAGGCAGCATTGAATGGAGGACAGAAGGTGGGGATGAGTCAGGTGGAGAGAATGGTATGAGGAGCTTGAACTGCGGTGGAAAGTCAACATGTGGCCAGCTTATGAGCAATCTGCCAGGCCATCCCTTGGGAGATTTTTATGACCTGACTTCTTAGAGCCTTTGCTCTGCTAAACTGTGATGTGAATAGGCACCAGGGGGCTGTAGCTTGCGCTTTTCCCAAGCCTGATGACTATGCACAGGGCTTCCGTGGAACTCACCTGGGCAATACTCAAGCATCCTAGGAGGGTGACTCCAAGCACCGTAGGAGAGTGTTCCTTTGTGCCTGGAGACTGACGACATATTTTGCCACAAGGCGTTTCTTCCTTTAATAATTTATAAACTGTCTCCTTTTATCTATAGAAACATAAAGCTTTTAGAGCTGGCGAAAACCTTAAAGATCATATAATCCAAACCCAAACAGAAAGCCAGAGAGAAAATATCACTGAGCTGATCAGGAGTAGATGTGAATTAGAATTCAAGTCTTTGAACTTTAAGACCATAAAGATTTAAGGTACTTTCAATATAAAAACAATACCGTAGAACAGTTAAAATCAATGAACAATAATTTTGTGAAAGAAGCTAGTTCATTGTAGCAATCATCCGGGATAAAGGCATTCTAGCTGATTAAGAACTAAATTTAATTTAATATAAATTTATTTATTTAATTTTATTCTTTTCTTTCTTTATTTATTATCATCATAATCTTGTTTATATTACATTGAATCACATATAACTTTACAGTGTATTACATTTCTTTTTCCAGAGGGAATGCCATGCATGTCGGTCAATACAGAGACATTAAAATCCCCACTTCATCATTCAATATCTTTTCATTGTTTTTCCCAATCATTATTATTATTATTCTAATTTTTTTTAGAGGTTTTTTGCTATAGGGCGCGTGCGTTTGCCGGAAAGACAGAGAGAGACAGAGAGACAGAAAGCGAGAAATCACCCCCCAGGGGGGATGGCCACGCCGCAATCCCTTCTCCTCCATTCTCCTCTTGGGATCTTGGGCATGCACGCACATGTGCTCAGCATGAGTTTAAGCCGCTGGGTCTGGGACTTGAACCGCGGTGGACTACATGGGAGTCCAGCAACATAGTCATTATGCTAACTGCTAGTCCCTCCAATTTTCTTTTTAACCAATCAATCACTATTTCTTATTTTGCTTGTAAAAAGACTTTTCCCAACATGAAATGCTTCTCAGACAATCCAGTTGAGAATACTATACATATCATCACTAACAGGTAATAAACCATATCTGTGTCCCACTAATGTCATGCCTCTCTATTTGTTCTCTTGCTATCTTTCTCTATACTTTTCTCTCCCCCACCCCCATTCCACACTGTCTTATCCTTGTTAAGTATTTTCACTACTTTTATGTCCTCCGATATTTTGCTCTCTACCATAGAGTGAGGATAGTCAGTATACATTAAGTGGATACATACAATATCTTTCTTTCATAGCCTGGCTTACTTCCCTCAGCAATAGATCCTCCATATCTGACCACTTTCTATCAAATTCCAGGGTCTTGTAATTTAATATAAATTTAGTCCTGAGCTTCCTGCCCCTTCTTCCAAGCAGAGAGATGTGATAGTCTATATGTTTTTCTCTTTGTTTTTTAATTTAAGATGTGGCAAAATGTAGCATAGAAATAAAGAAATTATATTTCCACCAGAAGCAAGTGGAACTGAACAATTCCATAGCCCTCAGTAATTTACTCCACAAACGTGCAGATCCTACAAAAGGTCCCGGAAACTGAGTTTCTTAGATGCTCACTGTCTAGTGGGAGATGAACAGTTAAAATCTCATAAGGGTGGTACTGAGGGAGTGTGGAGAGAGGGTCATAACCTATGATGGGAGAGGGGGCTTTCTTAGAGGGTTGTGATTACAATAGTCACTCCTAACGGTGAGGGAGTCTGTTGGTCAAGAAAGGATTCGTGAGGGGCTGACAGGTGGTGTGGTGGTTAAGGTGCTGGACTACCATGTGGCCGACCATGGTTCGAGACCTGGATTTGGTGGTTTGTTTTCTCTCTTCTCCCCTCCCCCTCGGTTGCTCTGTTGTCAAATTAAAAAAATGATGAATAAAATAAAATAATTCTTTTTTTAAAAAAGAATTATTTTATTTAACTTTATTTATTTATACACTTTTAATTTGACCAGAGAGAGAGAGAGAGAGAGAGAGAGAGAGAGAGAGAGAGAGAAAGGAGCCACCAGGTTCAGGACTTGAACCGTAGTTACCCATGTGGGAATCCAGCACCTTTAACCACCACGGCATCTGCTGGTCCCAAAATAAAATAATTCTTAAAGAAAAAAGAAAGTATTAGTAGTTGAGACTGGATTCGAAACGGAGAGTACCCTTGCGAATGCAGGGAGGCTGGCAAAAGCCTGGTGAGTTTAGGGGCTGTCATGTGTTCAGATTGCCTAGAATGATATTCGGGCTGCTGGGCAGAGTGACCAGTAAGAGACACTAAGTCAATCTGTTGTGTAGTTGACTATTATGACGAATACCGCCTGCCACAGATGAGAGCACTTTCTTTTTCACCCGTAGCCCTGTGCCGATTTAAGAAGCAAATGAGTACTTCCCTTATTTTCAGGGGTGGTATCCAGCTGAATTCCTGACATTTAGACTTTGGTGCAAGGTCAAGGTCAGAGTTGGCTGGGGAGAGGGAAGGGAGTGCATGGATGTGGAGCAGGTGGGCACAGAGCAAGGGGGCCATGGAGACTGGAATGTATCATGTCTCACCTTGCCTTGAGCTGTCTCCATAGTCCTCTTTGAAACCACAGAGAAGTGAGATCACTGCCAGCTGATGACATATACCTTCCAGGTGGACGCTGACTCGTCTAGATGCTTTTCCATGGGCGTGGTTAATCGAGGGGAGTGGGATGTCCTATCATGCAGCATAAAAATGTCTTGATGGGGTGGAGGTGGACTTGGGCTGGGGAGAAGGGAGCAGGTCAGAGCACACCTGGTGATGAAGTCTGAGTTCAGGAGAAGGGGCTACACAGACAGAGGGTGTGTGTGTGTGCATGTGTGTGTAGAAGTGAATTCACTTTGCCTGGCTCACCCTTTGTCAGTGGTCAGGGGTGAATTTTCGGGGACCAGACATGCACTGGCCCATACAGGGCTGGCCTGTTTATTATTTCATCTGCTTCATGTGCTCACCCTGCGAGGGAGGGACTTTTCTAATAGGTGACAACACCAGGGCTGAAAGACTCCGTGGGTCCCAACAGGGCTCGGCAGGATGACTTGTCTGTGCCTCTTTTACTTGCCCTTCTTCAACATGCCCACAGAAGAGGCTCACCCCTTCAGTGCCAGCTTTCGTTGAAGGCACAGGATGGCCTTCCTGACTCCCACAGCAGGTACTTTCCCTCCCATCCCCAAGTACCTGCCATTCAGACCCCTGAGAAGGACTCACTGTGGGCTCTTCTGCACTGCAGATGCCTTCTGCAGTGCCTGGAGCATCCAAACATTTTTCTTTCTTAAGTAAACAATGGTGGACTTTTGGGATAAATTCGGCGATTTAAAAGTGATTAAAAAGCTAAGCTGCTAGGTGTGATTTGGGAGCATAAAGGTGCTGATAAAATGTAAATATTTTAAGGATAATCTTAGATTTTACATTAAAAGTGAATTGTGTATAAAAATTACCTTCCTCCTCCACTTGAAAACGGCAGTATGGACAAATGCTTTGTATCTTCTTCCATAGGAGAGTGGACAGAATTGGGGAAACCGAAGTGCCATAGGATTGGGGAAAGGGGACCCCCAAACAAAGACAACTTGCATCTCCACCTTGCCTTCCATGAGCCAAATAAAAATGCTGGAGTCTGTGGTCCCCAGGCCTCTGAAGGCAGACGCTCTGACCTCAGTTTCTCCTCTGCCTCTCTTGCCTGGTGCTACGGTCTAAGCTGGGCCCAATCTCACTCTAAGATGCAGGTTTCACCCCCTTCTGGAGGCTCAGATGATGCTGTAAGCTTCACTCCCTTTCCTCTGGCTTTCAGAGGGTTTTTGATTAAACACTAGAAACCCCACAGACACCAGAAGGTACTTGCATGAGGTCAGGAAAAGGTCTTTCTCCTTTCTTATACACCGCTTTGCCCCACTCCTTCCAGTGCGCCTGACCCAGAGCCTAGAACTTCAGGATGGGTAGTCTGACTAGGCACAAGGCTGAGGAGAGGTCAGCGGTGCAGAGCTGGGGGCAGTTGGCAGAGCGCTGATGGGGGCTGGGAACCCAGGGAATACTGGGCGCCTACAGCCTGGAGCAGCTGGCTCCAAGGAATTACTGCACGTCTGCACAACTTAAAAATCTGCAGTTTGGGGGCGGGAGGGGGAGCGTGGGGGTGGGTCCCCGAGCGTCCCATTTCTCCTCCGGGCTGGGGCTGTTGACTGAGCGTTCTGGCTGAGTGCAGAGAGGCCGGCAATGCCTCCAGGACCACACGCTGCCCTCGCCGAGGTCCTGGTTTGTTCTTCAGCCTCGGCCAAGGACATCTCCCTCTGATTCCCTCTTCCAAGACATCCTTCAGAAGGAGATCCGAGTCGTTCCCTTCTACATACAAGGCACATATGCTTGTGCATGTGGACTGAAGGGAGCACAGCCACCTCTTCTGACTTGGTAAGTTGAGGAAATGGAACAGACCATATTGTTCTGCTGTGTGCGTGAGTCTTCAGGCAGCGAGGTTGGTGGCAAACATTGGCAGGAGCTGGGACTGCTTCCTCCGCACTTTGCAAAGAAGTTGGGGCCTCGCGACTTCCTAAGAAAATCCTGGCAAATCTGCAAAGCGTTGCTTGGGCCGGGACTTTCGAGAGGTGGTTGCCCGAGCTGCCGGGGTCGCAGGGGAGGTCATCTGTTTCTGGCAGCGCTGTAGTGCTCCCAGCCCCGGAGGGCGCGCGGGTGGGAGGCGCGGGAAGCGTTCCAGTGCCCATTTGGACAGGACAGGCAGCTCCCGGGGGTGACTCTGCACTTGGGCCTGGGCTGGGGCGCGCTTCTGCAGGGCAGTGTTTCTTCCCATCCATCTGTCTGTCTCGTGGTCTGACTCCAGCAATCCACAACTGCCCGCGTCTGAGCGCAGTGCCCTCGGCCGGGGGCGCCGGCCCCGACCAACCGACTGACCGACCGACCGACCGACGCGGGGCACCAGCTCTCCTCGCCGCCGCCGCGGCGGGCGCGGGGCCGCGCGGCGAGGCCTGATCCCTGCAGCGCGGGGGGGCGGCGTCGCAGAGCTGAGCGAGCCAGACGCGCCCGGACTCCTGCAGGTACCCACTTGCGTCCCCACCTCCCGGAGCACTCTGGAGACTTCTCCGTGCTATCCCGCAACTTTACCGCACCTGCAGCACCTTTTGCTGCCCCAGACCGCGGTGGTCTAGGTCGTGGGTGCACGACTCCGCTGGTCTACACTGCAGGGTGTTGGCATCCTGCTGGGCGCCTGAGTCGCAGCACCTCCCACCCTTCCGTACTCCGAGCTCGCCGTCGCTGGAGCTCTAAGGCTCCGCCTGTTGCGCGAGCTGAGGGCAGCCGAAACGATGTGTGCGTCTTTTGAAAAACCACAGGGAAGGGTTTTAGGGTCGGTTTTCGGGGCGTGGGATTGGGTGGGCTGGAGGACAGTATAGAGGCGGGAGAATCGAAGAGCTACGGAAAGGCGGCACCTCGGGAAGGGGCATCCCTAGGGCGTTTCCTTAGCCGGGAAGCCGTTCCTTCTCTTCCTCGAGAGGAGGCGCTTTCCTGGCGTTTGTAAGCCTTTACCCGGCCGCCTGCTCCGCCCTCTTCCCTGTCATTCCTCTCCTCCCCTCTGCTCTGCCAGGCGCCCTGCAACAGTTGCAGGGAAGGGAGCATCGCTCGCTCCTGCCCTGGCGCTGCGCTGCGCCCAGGGACTGCCGGTGCTCTCCAGGTGGGGCCGGCTTGGGGCTGACTGGGCGGGTGTGGAGTGGCCTGCACTGTCCGCGTTTGGATCAGCGGCAGTGGTCGGGTGGTGCCCTGGGTCAGGAACTCCTCTGTTCCGCGTCCCTCAGGATGGCAGCCTGACCTCTGAGCACCTGGGCTGTAAGGCAGTCAGACTTGCCAGCAGGGGCCGCGGCGAGCTGGGCCAGGCGCCTTTCGCATTGCAGGGCTTGTTCTGCGTCCGGTTGCACAGACCCTCCACTCAGCACCCCACCGCACCCGCATTCCCTCCAAGCCCCGTCTCTCCCCGCCACTCGTCCATTCTCGTCCGTTTTGGAAAAGGAGTACCTTGCATTCTCAGTATCTCCCCCAATCTCTGCTGGGAAGACAGAGCCAACAGCTTAACTTCAGCTGTTTGCCAAGGGGTCCGGGAAAAGCAAAGAATTACCTCCATCCACCAGGAAGACCTTGGGCTCTAGTTTTGTGCCAAGGCGTGAAGGAGGGGGGCGGTGGGGCTGCCTCTTATAGTACTCCCAGAGAGCAGGTTTGCGGTTCGCCTCGGCTGTCGGCTTTTCCTTCTTTCTTCTCTGGTCTTTCACCCTACTCTCTGAGGAGAGTGTGACAGCTGAGCAAAACCAGATCAGAAACCTTTCCCATCCCTTTTCATGTATTTGCTTAAGTGATTTGCCTAACCCTTCGCTTAGAACTGATAAATTACTCCTAGTTGCCCCTCTTCTTAGACTACTTGCAAATACTGCCCAGGTAAACAGGAAGCAAGCGTTGTCCTGGGCACCTGCCCCCTCCATAAAGGCATGTCCTAGTCCTCTCCTCCCCACACACCTGGGGCTGAAGAGGGTGGCTTTGATCTGTGGCTGAACTTGGTGTAATTGTGTAGGTCCTTCTTACCTGTGAACTCCTTGAGGACATTGATTAACACGGTATGCGTTTACAACCAGCCCACTTCTGCAAAGCCTAGGGCTGCACTCTGGGGGAAGATAGAGAAATTGGCATGTTTCTGCTTCGGTTCCTCTTTCTTACCAGATTTTTTTTTTTTCCTGCTCTAAAATGAAGTTTGTCAGTCCAGAACTAGGAATTGGGCAAGGAAGAAGGTGAGGCTGATGTGCTTAAAATCTCTGAGTCCGAAGCATATTATAGATATTCTAAGGAGAACTGTGGGATCTGTTTTAATTTAATCTTCTGTATGAACTATTCATGCTTCAATCAAGCTGTTGATGAATGCAGCCAAAGTACGGTTTTGCTGGTCAGGTGTATGGGAGCAAGTTGGGAGATCAGAGAAACAGTCTCACCACGTTCAGAAATATTAAAATATTAAAAATCCAATGCTATGAAGCTTGAGTTTGCCAGCCAAGCCCCAACTAAATTTCTTTTTCTTCTTTTTTTTCCCTTTCTTTCTTTTTTTCCCCCCCCCCCCCACCGAAACAGGAAAGGGAAGAGTGGGGCCTCAAGCCCCTTCCTTGGACTTCAGTGAGTTTTGCCCACATGCCCATCTGTGTAATCCTTCACAGACGCTGGCTCCTTGTGTTCCACCTCAGATCTCAGTCTGTCCTGTGTCTGGCCTTTGGGGTTGGAATGTGTATCAGCACTGTAGGGTTCTCCTCCTCCTCTTCCTCCTGGCTGCTGGAGCCAGTGTGTAGATGGAATCTCCCTAGGTGCATCCTGATTCAATGAAAGGCCAACAGGACAAGTTAGGCCT